GTTAAGTGTCTACCTTCTGCTCAGGTTATGATCCCAGGGTCTGGGATGGAGCCCTGCATCGGGCTCCCTGCTTAGCAGGGAGTCTGCTTCTCCCTCTTCCTCTGCCCCTCCCCCTTGCTCATGCGTGCTCTCTCACTCTCTCTCAAATAAATAAATAAAATCTTTAAAAAAATACATTTTGATTCTTTTTTTCTCCTAATTATAAAAAGAACACAGATTATTTTAGGAAACTTGAAGAATATAGGCAAGCTAAAAAAAGAAAAGAATAATCACACCTCCCCCACTCAAATATAATACTAAAGAATATCTGATATTTATTGAATTCTTACTATATACCCAGGATTGCTTTAGATACCTAATATTTCCACAAATAGATTTCATAAATGGTATTCAATATACATATGATACATATACATGATGAACATACATATGTATATATTTCATCTTTATGAAAAAGTACCCAGTTTTTTACAAACTGGATTTTTTTTCACCCAATGAATAAGTCATAATCATTTTCTCCTATTACCTGTATTCTGGACTGGAGGGTGTTAAAGACTTCCACATTCATACCCAGCATATTCCCTAACCGTCCAAAAACCAAAGACCAGACTGAGCCCAGCAGCAAGTACCAGGGAGCTGCTTGGCTGGGGGCTGAAGACGGCAGTGCCAATGACTCAGTCGCACTTGGAAATGGAATTAACACAGAATAACTCTGTGCTGGGGGCCTCAGGGAGGCCAACTCCCACCTCTGCGTGAGGGCCCACTGCTGGGGACAGCCCATACTACCTGTCCATCAGACAACAGAGCATGCAGCTTCTTTTACCCACTAGCTCTGCTGTGCCCTCATGCCATACTCCTTTAGCTTTTCTCACCACCACCACCCTTCACTGTAAACATAGTACCTCCATTCTCAGCCTCTTGCCTTCACTGTCTGCCCTCAAAAACACCAAACTCTCCTGACACTGAGAGGAAGTTCCATATTCCGTTCCCTTCTGTGGCCTGGCCCCCTGTGTACACTTGAGGAGATGAACTATATTTGGATTTGACCCAGCTTCCCAGTCAGAAGAGAGTTGGCAATAGATGCGTCATTGCTCACCTAAGACTATTGTGGTAACTCTCATTCCCTCAAGTGCTGCCTTGCTCCCTACTGAATGGCCCCCTCTAGAAATCCATCCTCTAGAAGTTTCTCCCCTGCTGGCTCCTCCCGCCTCTCTACCTGTCACTTCTCCTGCCTCGCTCTGTATGTTCTAGTAACTCTGAGGTGTTCTCTCTCCTCCTGACACCATTTCATACCTTTGTGTCCTTGCAGACACTTCCCTTTCTGTCTAGAATGGTCCCTTCTTCTTGTCTGCCTGGAAAATGTGTGTTCATCCTTCAAGGTTTATTCCAAAGACATTCCCACAAACTCAGAATACCACCTGTTGGTTTGCAAACCAGCTGCCATAGACGCAGAGCAAGGAGAGACCAAAGAAAGAGGCAGACCACTCCAGATTAGTTTGTGGCAGCTTTAATAAAAAAGGAATCTTCCAAAGTTTATCTAGGGTGGCTGCAAGATGACTAGATCTCTGCACCCACCCACCAGAATCTTCAAAGTTTATATATATGAAGGCCTTAACTGGGTAGAGCCATATATACTGTCCAATGGTCTCAACACCACATTACTATCTCAAGGCTATGTCCTGGGGGCAGCTTCTGGTGCAGGGAAGGCAAGCAGAGTGCACATTCCAAGGACAGGGAAAGAGGTGAGGAGCCTCTGATCGCCCAGGTCCAGCTTGTAGGTCAACCAGCAGTTACGTCCTCCTGATGACTTCCTGCAACACTACCCTACATATTCCTTATTAATTAGAAAGAGTGAAAGTTACTTTTGAACAATGTAGAAAGCTAGCTAACGTCTCCTTAACCAGGTGGTCAAAATTATCATCATCAACAGGACAAGCAGATATCCGATGTCCCCACTGCCATGGACCGAGAATGACACATGCTGGTAGCATTCTTGCCAAAACCATTTCACCTGACTCTAATCCCGAAGGAACGATCAAACACGTCCAAATTGGAAGATGTTCTGCAAAACTGGCCTGGACTCTTCAAAAATGTCAGTGTCAGGAAAGACCAAACCAAGCCACACCAAACCAAAGGCTCAGAAACTGTTTCAAGTGAAAAGGTGCTGAAGAAGCATGACAAGTGAATGCGGTGTGAGAGCCTTGATTCCATCCCGGATCAAAGTGGAAAAAAAACACAAAAACAGTTACAAATAACATTATTGGGAGGATTGGTGAATTTCTAGTATGTGTTATCTATTAGATAATAATGTTAGGTCAGTGTTAAATTTCCTGAGTATGGCCATTGTATTGTGGTTATTTAAGAGAACGTATTTGCCCTTAGGAGATACCTGCTGAACGCTGAACCGCTAAACTGTTGTTTGCTATATCTGCAGTTAACAATCCATGATGGTTCAGCAAAAAGAAACAAGGAACAAATAAATATGTGTGTTGGTTTATCTAGAGAGAAAAAAAGAGAACGTGGTGGTATTAAAAATAGAGGAATTATAGGTGAAGGGTAAATGGCTCCTCATTGTTCTGTTCTCACAGCTTTTCTGTAGGTTTGAAATTTTGTAAGACAAAAACTTGGATAGAATAAACAATAAATAATAAAAACCAACAAATGAACAAAAAGCTTGTTCCAGGTCATGTTTTCTGTGACGCTTTTCATGACATCCCCCTCCAACCTGTCCCCAAACACACACACATAAAACAATGAATCCCCCTCTCTTCTGGACTCTTTCATGATCATCTATCTCTCTGACCAAACTCTAAGCTCTTTGATAGCTGGGCCTGTGTGTGTTGTGTTGAATCTACACAAGGCTACAACCATACCTGACCCCGATTGGATGCTCAGCTGATGCTTTTTTAAAAATTAATCAAGCTGAGTCTTTGAGGCCTGGATAGGATTCAGTGGGCAGACAGGAGCAAGAAAGGTTTCTCAAGAGAGAGGAATGGTTTGAGCAAAAGTAGGGAAGCAGGAACTTATATTGTGTATTTACCAAGAACATTTGATTTGTTTGGTCAGAACTGAAGATTTATATGGGTGAAAATGCCTGGCTCACAAGATAGTCTTAAAAATTTGGTGAATAAATGAATGAATGAGATCTGAAGGGCAGGCTTAGATCAGATTGGAAAGGGCCTTGACTACTGAATTGAGAAATCTGAACGGTAACTAGTTCTTGACATCCAGGGTCTCTTCCCAGTGGCAGGAAAAGATTGTGTCCTTGGGAAGCCCCTTATATAGTCTTGTCCCTAAATAATAAGGAAAAGTTGGGGCACCTGGCTGGCTCAGTTGGTGGAGCATGTGACTCTTGATCTCAGGGTCGTGAGTTCGAGCCCCATGTTGGGTGTAGAGATTACTTAAAAATAAAATCTTTAAAAAAATAAAAAAGAGAGACAAATGGGAGTCTGAAAGTGACCTGTTTCCATACTCAGGAGGAGAAAACATCAACCTCACCCACCTAGGAAAAGCCTCATAATGGGAGTTTTAAGACATCCAACATCCCTCAGAAAGAAAGGGCATCACAGAATATTGGTTGAAGGAATAAATAAATGAATCTATTTAATATGAGTCATGCTTGTCCTTGAGAATAGTGTATGAAATTACTTCAGTTAATTTTACTACATTTTTAAAGTTTACGAAGCCTACACATATGAAAGAACTTGACTCTAATATTACTCTTTAGGAGGTTCCACATCATTCCATAGATTGACAAAGCTCCTCATGATGCCATATCTTAAATGTTAGGCTAAACTCTTTTCAATAATTTTGAAGCTATCTCCAATGGACAGTTTTCATATTTCCTTGATGTTTGTGCTCTGTTTTCTTCCAGATGGATTTGTGGGGGCTGACAATTTAAGTGATGCAAACTAATCTGCTTATGCCAATCAAGAAAAAGAAAAGTGCATTGTCTTTTGAGGTTATCATTCCCTTGACCATTCATAAACAGGCTGGCATCTACTTTGTCCTTGCTCATGGTCACAGCACACCACAAAAATCTTAGCTGAGAGGAAATGCAAATCTCAGGTAGCATTTTAAATACCTATTTTTGGCCCAATTATGAGGTAGCCTTGAGTTGTCCCAGAATTTTTAACATTACCAGGGAGAGACCGGTGGGAGTCAAAACAACCTGCAGTTTACAAAAGCATGTGGGCATTCTTTTTGAAGAAAGTAGACAAGATAATCTGAGCTGTTGTCTCCCAGGTAATGAAGTAGAATCGGGTGACAAATCGTTTGGGCCATGTGCACAAATGGATGGTGACACAGCTAAATTAGTCAAAACTGTCCACCACAGGCCATCTTGAGAGATAAAGGGCTATTTATGAGTCAGCAATGTTCTTATAATCAGTTCTGATGTGCTTTGTAAGCAGGAGTATAATTCCAAGGCTACAATTGACAAAGAAGTATCAGGACAGTCCAGCCAGCCCAGCCCAACCTATATGTCGCTACAGTTTTATAGAGATTAGCATATCACAGGAGCCAAATGCTGTTCTCCGGCTTAAAATATGTTATTGCTACTTTGTAGAAAAAGTCCGTGCCCTGTTCTTCGCTACTAATAAAATAGAAGCATTCACAGATAGTGTGTTCAGTGTGATCCAACAGTTGAAGCATATACTAGGTATCTTGTAATAGCACGTTTTAAAACGTCAAGCAGATAAGAATTAGGGCTTGGAAAATGAACCGCTATGAAGAGAGATAAAAAGGGATCTGGGGTTTCTCTGAGGACCCGGCGTGGTGGCCAAATCCTCCCTGTGGCCATTTGCCACTGCCATGGAAACCAGTGGGCCGGGCAATCGGGGATTGTGACGCCTGGGGGCGGGGAGGGGGTGGTGACCCAGTGACTGGTCTTCTGTACCCCAGCCCTCGGCTGAGACTTCACAGCGCTGCTGCATCCTCAACTCGCCTGCGGGAGTGGTGCCCCGAACCGTTCCGGAGAAAGACCACTGCCCACCGCCTTGATGACAACACCTCCGTGTCTCCTCCCGGCTCAGGCTCTCCGGCAGCCCCGGGTCCACGGCCTCTCCCAGATAACCAGCAGCCTGTACATCAGCAATGGTGTGGCGGCCAACAGCAAACTCTTGCTGTCCAGCAACCGCATCACCACGGTCATCAATGTGTCGGTGGAAGTGGTCAACACTTTCTTTGAGGATATCCAATACATACAGGTGCCGGTGGCTGATGCTCCAAGCTCGCGTCTCTACAACTTTTTTGACCCGATTGCTGACCACATCCACAGCGTGGAGCTGAAGCAGGGCCGCACGCTGCTGCACTGCGCCGCCGGGGTGAGCCGCTCCGCCACACTCTGTCTGGCCTACCTCATGAAGTACCACGCCATGTCGCTGCTAGATGCCCACACGTGGACCAAGTCTTGCCGCCCCATCATCCGGCCCAACAATGGCTTTTGGGAACAACTTATCCACTATGAGTTCAAGCTGTTCAGCAAGAACACCGTACACATGATCAACTCCCCGGTGGGCGTGATCCCTGACATCTACGAGAAAGAGGTCCGTTTGATGCCGATGTGAACAGCACCTGACCATGACCATCCGCTGATAATCCTACACCAACACTGAACTCGAACGGTGAAATTTTGTTGGTAAAGAAAACAAGATGATGCCTTTTAGAAGGGCCAGCCAAAACTGAGGGTTGTTGGGAGTTTTTAGCTTAGTAAGCTTTATCTTTAAAGAATAAAATGCATTCAGTGTAACCGGGTGACAGTGTTTCTTCTCCCGTGAGCGGCAGGTCATGGCTGCCTCGGCCTGGCCAGAGAGGAGGGTGGGCAAGGTGGTGCCCACCTCGGATGGACCTGTGTCCTGGGCCTCCGCCCCAGGCCGAAAAACCCAGGAGTGAGTCCCCCCAGGATCCCACCTGGTTCTTCCCAACCCAAAGTCAGAACCTTAGACATCATGGTGCCACCACTTCTCACAGTAAGTGCCAACCTCTGCTAAGCGGCCTTCACTGGGGTGCTCTGGGAGCCCTTGGGGGAGCCTTAGGCCACCCCTGCCCCCACCTTCAACCACAGTGGCCCAGCTCTGGTTTTCTAGATTGGATTTACGCAGAAAATAGTGTTCAAAAAAGCCATTCCACTCTATAAAATTAAAACGATTTTTTTCTCAGTGCTGCCCTATCTGGCAAGGTCTCAAGGTGCCCTTGGCAACCTCTGCCAGCCTTTGTGAAAAAGGGCATCAATCCCCTTCTCCGGGGCACGTGCTGAGAGAGAAAACGGGCCTGACACCAGGCCTCAAGGGTTCCTCTCATGGGGTCTTGAATTGGAAGGCTGGAGGACACAGCCCTGTCACCTCAGACACCTCCTCCCATTGTGACCTGGGGCACCTCAAAGCCTCTGTTTCCTCACCAGGCAAGGCGGTGACAGCCCGATTCTCACAGGGTTGTTGTGGGGATGAGATTCCTTAGCGTGAGCCCTAGCCCATGAATGGTTTAATGCTTCAAGTAGAGAGCAGCTCTTGTTATTAATGATGCTCCTGGGCCCTGCTGGCTGGGGGTCAGCACATTCATCCTCACAATGGCACTTACCCCATCTGTGCATAGCCACTTTGTTGTCTACCAAGGGCTTTTCCAAAAAATCATCCTGTCTGTAAAAACAAACGGTTTAAGGTTCTTTCCACCCTACCTCAGAGGAGGCATAGATTTCGAGCTCGGAGTTCCTGTTGTTTCATTGTGTTTAATCTGTGTGCAAACAAGGAACAAGAAGTTCAATTTCAGCACCCTGCCCCTCCGAGGCCTTGTTTAGAATTGCTGACCATGAGAGCCAGCGTCCCAGGATCCACTGAGATCCACAGGGGAACTTGCCAAAGGGTCAAATGAGTGAGCCCCAGAGCAGGCCTTGGAATCCAGGATTGTACAAATTCCCCAGGCTCCTGGCTCTGGCTTGGGAGCAGCTATTCTAATCCAGAGGATTTTAGACAGAATATAGAAGACAACAGCACAACCATTCCCATTGACTGACCGTGCGTACGTGCGTGGGTCCAGAGTCCAGCGGCTTTCAAAAGCCGGTTCTCTCCAAACCCATCCCCACCCCCACTGCCACAAAAGGAGTGCCCAGGGACACAATTTGGGGTGGGAGGGGGAGAGGGGTGCTGTGAAGACCACTGCTCTAGACGGATTCCCTCCTTCTACAGATGGAAGAACAGACTCCCAGAACACAAGGGCTGGTGGGGCAGAGCCCTTCACAAAGCAGCCTTTCTGGCAAGAAACCCAGATGGGAAATTTCTTTTAAAGTATTTCTTTTTTTTTTTTTTTTTTAAGATTTTATTTATTTATTTGACAGAGAGAGACACAGCGAGAGAGGGACACGAGCAGGGGGAGTGGGAGAGGGAGAAGCAGGCTTCCCGTGGAGCAGGGAGCCCGATGCGGGGCTCGATCCCAGAACCCTGGGATCATGACCTGAGCCGAAGGCAGACGCTTAACGACTGAGCCACCCAGGCGCCCCTCTTTTAAAGTATTTCTAAAACGATATTTATTTGGGCATATATTTGTGTGTGTGTATTTTCTTTTTTTTTTTTAATACCCAAATTAACAGACCATAAAATTAACTCTCTTCGGACATCCAGCCCTATGCGTGTTAACCCCATGCATAGATTCATGTAACCACAGCCACAATGAGGACACAGAGCAGTTCTGTGACTCCAAAAATTTCCCTCATGCTTCCCCTTTGTAGTCAAACTCTGGCCTCACCCCAACCCTGGCCAACGCTGAGTTGTTCTCTGTCACTGTAGACTTGCCTTTAATAGAATGTTACATAAATGGAATCATATAGGATGTAACTTCCGGAGACTGGCTTTTTTCACTCAGCATAACATCTGTGTGGGTGGTTCATGTTGTATTCTAGTGTATTGACGTACCACAGTTTCTTCTACACTCACCTGGTGAAGGCTGTTTGGGTTTGTATTAGTTTCCTAGGAACTGCCGTAACATAACACCAAAACCTGGGTGGCTGGAAACACAGCAATGAATTGTCTCACGGTCCTGGAGGCCAAAAGTCCTAAATTAGTCTCAGCAGGGCCATGATCCCTCGGAAACCTGTAGGGGAAAACCCTTCCCTGCCTCTTGCCCGTTTCTGGGGGTTGTCGGCAATCCTTGGCATTCCATGGCTTGTAGATGCATTGCTGTGGTCAAGTGGCCATTTTCTCTAATGTGTCTTCACATCCATCTTCCCTCTGGTACGTCTGGGCCCAAATTTCCCTCTTCTTATAAGGACACCAGTCATATTAAGGAGTTCACTCTACTCCAGTATGATTGCATCTTAACTAATTATATCTGCAACAACCGTGTTTCCAAAGAAGGTCACATTCTGAGGTTCTAGGGGTTAGGACTTCAGCAGATTTGGGGGGGTACTATTCAGTTCATAACAGGGTTGTTGCCAGTTTTTTGGCAAGTATGCATAAAGTACTCTCACACAGACACACACACACACGCACACAAAAAGGATCACATCACCTGGAAAAAAAGAACTATAGCTGTTTAAAAGTAAGATATGAGTTACAGTGAAAATAATAATAAGCATCATTTATTAGGAAGCTATTATATGCCAAGCGCAGGACCAGGTTACTTTACATTGTCTCTAGTCCTTACATCAGCCCTTCAAGGTGGGTGTCACCTGCAACATACTGATGAGAAAACAGATTCCAGGGGGTTAAGGAATTTGCCTAAGAAAGCACACAGCCCAGGAGTGAAGTGATATTCAGACTGGGCTCTGTTTCCTTGCATTTCTTTTGAGATAAAGCTAAGCAGATTGAAAGAAGAAAAGTTTTGATCTGTGCCCTTGATTCCCAAATAGCGTACATACAAATCATACGGGGACTTTTAATTAGACAGATACTGGGACCTCACCACCACAGATTTAGGGGCAGTAGGTAATAGGTAAGGTCCAGGAAGCTGGACCTTACCTCTCTCTCTCTCTCTGTATATATATATATATATATATATATATATATTTTTTTTTTTTAAGTAGGCTCCGTGCCCAGCCTGGAGCCCAACACGGGACTTGAACTCTCGACCCTGAGATTAAGACCTGAGCTGAGATCAAGAGTCAAAGGCTCAATGAACTGAGCCACTCAGGCTCCTCCAGGAAGCTGCATTTTTAACAAGCATCTCAGACCACTCTAATGAAACATCCACCAAATAGTTGTTAATGCTAGGGTATTCTGTATCTTCTCCTCTTTGTCCTTTTTTTTTGAATTATCTATTCATGCCCATAGTTTTCTACCCAAGTGTAAATTTTTTTTATTTTTATTTTTTAGTTGTAGGAACCAGAATATAGAACAAGAATATTCAACTTTTCTTGTCAAATATGTTGCATGTATCGTGTGCCATTTGTTTATGGTGCTTATTTGGGATTCAAAAGTTTAAGTCTGTGTAGTTAAATCCATGAGTCTTTAACTGAATGGCTTTCGCTTTTTCTTTTTTAAAGGTTTATTTATTTGCTTGCGAGAGAGAGAGCGAGCAGGGGGAGGGGCAGAGGGAGAGGGAGAGAGAGAATCCTCAAGCAGACTCCCCGCTGAGCTGAAATCAAAAGTCGGCTACCCAACCAACTGAGCCACTCAGGTGCCCCTGAATGGCTTTTGCTTCTGAATAATACTTTAAAGGTTTCCTCCATGGCATAACCATAAAAATGTTAACTACTATGTTTCTCCTGATCTGTTTTTTTCACCCTTATCCCCCAATTTTTTTAATTTGAAAATTTTCAAACACCCAGAAAGTTGAAATAGCATAATGAGCATCCACATTTACTCCACTTACGTTAGTCAATTGTTAGCCTTTTGTCATATTTGCTTTCTCTCTTTTTCAATATAATACTTTTTCTTTTGGTACCTACCCGAAAGTAAGTTGCAGATATCCTGACATTTAACCCTTAAATATTTCCAAATACATCATCTAAGAATAAGGACATCCTCCTACCTATTCACAGTATCATCATCAAATCTAAGCCAATTGATAATAATTCCCCAATACTCAGTTCATATTTAAATTTTCCTACTTATATGCCAAATGTCTTTTACAGCCATTTTTTTTTCTTTCCCAAACAGGATCCAATCTAGGTTACACATTGTATTTTATCATTGTATTTCTTTTAATCTATGACAGTGCCCTGGCTCTTTTTTCCCCCCTGACATGGTCTTTTTGATGAGTCAAGAACAATTCTGTGTATCATGTCCAGCACTCTGGCTTTTTCCAATTACTTCCTCATCTACTGTTTAACACGTTCCTTTATCACCCTCATCTTTAAACTTGAAGTTAGGTCAAGGTTTGATTATGTTTGGGTTAAGTATTTTTTGCTACAACACTTCAGAAGTGATGTCATGTTGCATCACATCAGGAGACACAAATGTCTCTTTGTCCCAGTAGCAGTGATGCTAAGTTGGATCATCACTTAGTTAAGGTGGTGACCACCAGATACCTGCCTTTAAAACTAGTGAGTAATCTGTGGGGTGATAACTTCCCCACCATGTGAATATCCTGTTTCTTTCATCCCATGATATTAACATCCATTAAGGATCCTTGCCACAAACCAAGTGTTACAGAGGAGGACATGTAACTCTTAAAACTATCCCAAACTGATTTTGGTATATGGTCTAAGTTGGAGTTCTTTAACTTTTTAAAATAATCGTGAGATATTACAAAACTCCCATAAATATTTGTGTCTGCTTTTGTTCCTTCTGGTTTGTTACATTGATTGTCT